TCGCGATTGTTTGTTTTTGACAGGACACTTTTTCTTTTGTTGGGGAAAATTTTGCTTGCGGGACGTACCCGAGCCGGATCGTCGGCCGGTTCCGGAAACCAGTTAATTTTTTTTTTTTTTTGCACTTGATTCCCTACCGAAGAGTTTTCTGCTCAGAGCCTACGATAAATCACACATAGATCTTGGTTACTCACACACATCGTCCTTTTAGCTCTAGTCTGCATTCTCGTAATAGAGTGGACTGAGAGTGCAACAGTAACCAGATAGTCGTGAGCGATCTTATTACGTGGGTGCCATTGGTAACTCTCTCCTTATCTCAGCTATATAGCTACAAATAGTTGTAAGCTACACTTACTCCTACGCTAAGAACTTGACCACGCGGCAGCAGTATCCAAGCATTGTGTGTTATAGCTAATCCCAGAACCTCCATAAACCGGCACGCGTGCAAAACCTATTATTCCCTACAAATAGTTCTTTCCATAATACTAACAACGGTCACAACAGAGTACTCGCATGCGGTGAGACTATCAGCTTATAGTAATCCTACTATTGCTGAAATAACGCAGTAAATTACTTAGTCCTCCCCGTCTACCAATCCCAACTGCTTCTGCGAATACGTACACGCTCATAACACGCTTTCATAAGGATAAATCGGACATCGCCGAGGCTTACAGGTCAGACAGACGACTACGTACACTCGATTACTCCTAATTAATGAATAGATATCTCGCGACATTCATGGCACTTGATCTACGTCAGTTGCGTTCATCCCCGCGCACGTCTTGAGATCCCGTTACGTAGTGTGCTTCTTTATCTCAGCACATACGTGCATCGCCTGTCTATGCGCTGTTAAACCTCGGATTCCAATGCACAACCAGGCTGTTGCTACGATCAGATATTACAGGAGCCAGCGTCACCACTATTTCGAGAATACGTACACTAACCCAAACACTTGTGTGCATAATTGAGTTGATATGATTGAGTGTGATCCCTGATGATTATGTGAGTTCACGAGCTGCACATCATATAAACATATAGCAGGACGTTATCTTATTGCTGGACAGATTTCCGATTGCGTTCTCAGATGTCGTATTAACTTGTGATTTATTTTTTTAATATTCATTAAACATTTTTTACGTTTTAGACACACTTAACACTAAATAACACTTAAAAAAAGTAAAAAATTTTGTAAAAAAAAACTTTATAAAAATCTCATAAAATGCCAAAAATACAAAAAAAAAAAAAAAAAAATTTAGTACATTTTATTTGTATTTTATCTGCATTTATTAAATTTTTAATAATACTTTTTCACACAATTTTTTACTCTTCAATACATCTAAGTAGGAGCAATCCTAAAAGTAAAAAAAAAATGGTTAAAATTTAAAAAATATTCACTAAAAACAAAAAAAATACGAAAAACCAAAAAACAGTCAGTTTTCAAAACTAAATTCAGAAACGTTCAAAAAGCCAAATACACAGCTGAATGTCATTCGTTCATTCATAAAAAAAGAAAAAAAAACAGGAGCCGTCTTACTCTTTTGAATATAACATTTCTCTTTTCATCAATTTTTCCTCCTCTCTCACTGTTCTCTATCTCATGTCTCTATTCTCTTTCTCTCTCTCACTCATCACTCTTCTCTGGTCTTTGTCTAATCTGTCTGTCTCTCTCTCTTTCCTCTGATGTCGTCTGTTCTCTCTTCTCTTTCTTCTCTCTCACGCAATCACTCTTCTCGTCTGTCTGTCGTCATTTTGCGTATTATGTCTCCGTACTCTCTCTATGCCTCTGTCTCTCTCTACTCATCATCTTCTCTGTCTGTCTGCCTCTATTCTCTCTGTGTCTTCTCGCTAACTCTCTTCTCTTTTCTGTTCTCTCTCGATTTATCTCTCTTTCGCTATTGTTTTTCTCTCTCATCTATAATCTTCTCTTCTCCTTCCCTTCTCTACTACTCTTAATTCTCCGAACACTTTGTTTCTTCTACTTTTTTTTTTCTCTCTTCTCGTATCTCTCTGCTCTCTCGTTCATCTCTCTTCTCTCTCTCTCTTTTTGCTACTGTCTCTCTCTCGTAATCTCTTTTCGCTTTCTTTCTTCCTTTTTGTTTATCTCTTGTCATCTCTGTTCTCGCTCTCTTTTCTGTCCACTCATTTCTCTATTTTTCTCTCCTTTGTCTATCTTTTATCCTTTCTCTCTGTCTTTGTCTCTGTGGCTATCACTCATCACCTTCTTCTCTTCTATGTCACATGTTCTGTTTTGCTGTCTATCTCATCTCTCTCCACTGTGTGTTCGCCTTTACTCACTCTCTCCCTCATCCTTCTCTAATTTATAGCTCCTTCGATTTTCGATCCAACCATTTGGAACCCTCAGTGGCGGTGACCCTCAGCACCCTAATTCCACGTTGACGGGGCCTGTGTAAGGACGCTTAGACTCGACAATTTTCATCAATATCTATTAGTTCAACACTTTTTTCGAGTCGTGATATTAGAAAGGTGAATGGTGTGTGCGGGGTCAATCCCACTAGGAATCTAGGGCATTTCCGCTCATTCTTGGCATCATATGAGCGGATCTGCTCCTTAATCGATCCACTACAAGAAATGCATCTAGCAACCACCTTTGTCTCTTTCTCGCTCGAATCACTTTGTCTTGTCTCTCTATCTCCTTCTCTATCTATGTCTCACATACATCTCTCCCTCTCACACCATCTCCTCTACCACATTACCACTACTTAGCAAATGTCATTTCACTACACCACTACTACCACTATTGCCACTCCACGCTCTCGATCTACCCATACTACCATCATACTACCACTCCACTACCCCACTACCATACTACCACTTACTACTATCATTATCTCTCCTCCACCCTGCCACTCCATCTCCTTGACTGTCTCTCCCTTCTCTATTGTCTTTGTCTTCTTCTTCTCTCTTTCTCCACTTCATGGAGTGAGAAAGGAGAAGACAAGGACAAAGGACCACATTAGGAGCAAAGGGGAGAAGAGACGAGTCAAGAGAGATGGAGTGGCAGTTGGGAGGAGAAATAAGTGATAGTAGTTAGTGGTAGTAGCTGGTATGTTGGTAGTGGAGTGTCAGTGATGAGGTAGTAATGGTATGTAGAGGTGGTAGTGGCGAATTAAGTGGTGAGTAGGGTGTAGTGAAGATCGACTTTGCAGTAGTTGGTAAATGTGGTGAGTAGCATGGGTGGTGGTAGAGGGAGAGAATGAGTGAGACTAGCATAGAGAAGAGAGATAGAGGAGACAGAGACAAAGTGATGAAGGCCAGAGAAAGAGACAATTAATGGTTTGCTAAAGAGCTGCATTTCGTTGTAGGACGCATAAGGAAAATGCCCTAGTTCCTAGTGGATTGACCCACCCACACCTTACTGTTTTTCGATTGGTTCAAAAAAATTTATTTATTATTTATTTTCACTCTTGCTTCCACAGCCCCACGACGTGGAAGTAGGGGGTGGCTGAGGGTCACCGCCCACTGAGGTGTCCCAACTGGGTTTGGATGATAATCGAGAGGGAGCTTCAATAAATAGCAGAGAGAATGAGGATGAGAGTGAGTAAGGCGAAACCAGTGAGAGAGAGAGAAATGAACAGACAAACAGAAGGGTAGACTAGAGGAAGAGAAGAGTGAATGAGTGATAGACAGAGACAAAACAGCGAGAGAAAGAGATATAAAGATAGACAGAAGAGAAGAAAAGATAGAGAAAGAGTGGCTGACAGAAAAGACGAGCGAACAAGAGATGAGCAAGAGAATAAACAAAAAAAGCAGAAAGTGACGAACGAAAGCGAAAAAGAGATTAACGGAGAGAGAGACAAGAAAAAAGAGAGAGAGAGAAAGAGAGCGAATGAACGAGAGGAGAGAGATAGAGAGAGAGAGACAAAAAAAACGAGAGAAACAAGATGTCGAGATAGAAAGAGAGGAGAGAGGAGAGAGAAAGAGAGAGAAGAAAAAAAATAGCAAAGAGAATAACGAGAGAGAGACCCAGAAGAGAAGAGAAGCTTGAGCGAGAGACACAGAGAGAAATTAGAGGAGACAGACAGAGGAAGGATTATGACTGTGAGAGGAAGACGAGAGATAAGAAGACGGAACACTAAAGCAAAAGAGACAGACAGACAGGAAAGTGATGCAGTGAGAGAGAAAGAGAAGAGATGAAGAGACCGAGAGAAAGAGAGAGAGACAGACAGATAGACAGACAGAGAAGAGTGATGAGTGAGAGAGAGAAAAGAGAGAGACAGACAGATAGAGAACAGAGAGACAGGAAATATTGAAAAAAATGTGATGAAAGAGAAATGTTATATCAAAGAGTCTAAGACCCGGCGCCTTTTTTTTTTCTTTTTTTTTATGATAGAAAAATACCATTCAGTGTGTCTTGGTTGAGTTTTCTGAAGTAAGTTTTTTGAAAACTGACTTTTTGGTTTTCGTATTTTTTGTTTGTTAGTGAATATTTTTAAATTTAAACATTTTTTACTTTTTAGATGCACCTTTACTTAGATGTATCTAAAAGTATAAAAAATTTGTGAAAAAATATTGTTTCAAAATTTTAATAATTGCATAAAAATACTAAAAAAAATGTACTAAATTTTTTTTTTTTTTTTTTTTGTATTTTTGGCATTTAGTGAATTTTTAAAAGTTTTTTTTTACAAATTTTTTACTTTTTAGGTGTATTTATGTTAAGTGTGTCTAAAAAGTAAAAAAATGTTTAAAATATTAAAAAAAAATTAGTAAAAACAAAAAAAATACGGAAAATAAGAAAATGTATTTGGTTGTGATTTCAAATCACAATTCCACACCTTAATTCAAGCATGGTGTTTGGTTGTGATTCTCAAATGATGTTTTGAGAACTCTACATAGAACACCTGCGTTGTTCTGTTTTTGACAGACACGTTTTTCCTTTTGTTGGGGAAAATCTTGCTTGGCGGGACGTCCGGCCGGTCGTCCGGCCGGCTGTCCGGAACAGTAATTTTTTTTTTTTTGCAATTGATTTATATATCGATACGTTGGCGATGGATTGGGATGTGAAAAGGATGTTAATGGAGGATCTGAAGAGGTTCGTGAAGAGGAAAGATTTTTACAGGAGGGTTGGGAAGGCGTGGAAGAGAGGCTACTTGTTGTTTGGTCCGCCTGGGACTGGGAAGTCGAGCTTGATCGCGGCCATGGCCAATTACTTGAATTTTGATGTGTATGACTTGGAGTTGACTGATCTGAGGAGTAATTCGGAGCTCAGGAATTTGCTGATTACGACGGCTAACCAGTCGATACTAGTTGTGGAAGACATTGATTGCTCCATTGAGTTGCAGGATAGAATGAAGGCTGCAGCTATGGCTGCCGCGGCCAGAGGCAGGGATCCTCATGGGTATAATCAAGGTTCTAGTGTAAGTAAATTACTGCTAACACACACATATACTCCCTTTGTCCATTCCCTTCTTTTATTTTTGGTTGTTCTAAATTGCATGTCGTTTTAAAAAGTCAAACTAGTTTGAATTTGACTTTTACTTTTGGATCTGATCTAAGTGAGCCCATTACAAGTTAGGTTTGAGTTATTTGCTTTATTGTAGTACATATAATCAAGTGAAGTGCAATTGCAAGTTAGCAAAATTCCACCTAAATTTTAACAAGTTTTAAAATAAAATTTTAATTATTTACATAATAAATCAATTTGAAAGGAGTTTCTAACAAGTGAAATAGGACTACACTATCATGATTGGTTTTACAACCTTAACATGACAGTTCACATTTTTAGCAGTGTGCCTGCTAATTGTTCAGCAACTGGGATGTTACTAAAAATGTGTCTACATTGACATAGTATCTTTGAATGGTTGATGATTATTTAGAAGTTTTAATTATCTAATAAACATGTTTGATTTGCACAATGCAATGAGATTGTTAGTCCGATGGTGGGATTAATAACACCACCCCCTTCATGGTATTTCTAATCCCATGGCTCTCTAATCAGCAAAACACTCAATTCAATGGTAAAAATAATCTTCTTCTTATCACAATCAAACATAACAAGTATACTCTATGTTATATATTATTGATCCTAGCCTTAATCCCATAGTATTACCAAGGTTTAGTACTAAAAAATTTCTACTTCGCTTGTAAAACATGACCTAGAAGACTTCTACATAGTTCTAGTTCTTTCTTCCTTAGAAAGGTCCATCCATCCATCAAAAACAAGTTACTAATCCATTTTATGTTTTTTTTTTTTTTTTTTTGAATTTTAGGTTACCTTATCTGGACTGCTAAACTTCACCGATGGACTGTGGTCAAGTTGTGGGGATGAGCGAATCATAGTGTTCACAACAAATCATAAAGACAAGCTCGACCCTGCTTTGTTGCGCCCAGGTCGCATGGACGTGCACATCCACATGTCCTATTGCACCCCTTGTGGCTTCAAAATGCTTGCCTCCAATTACCTTGGAATTACAGAGCACCCGCTCTTCTTGGAGGTCGAAGTATTGATAGAGATGAAGAAGGTGACTCCGGCTGAAATTGGCGAGCAATTGATGAAGAGTGATGAGCCCGAGAGGGCTCTGAGAGGCCTCATCAGGTTCTTGGAGGAGAAGAAAGAGAAGGAGAAAGGAGTAATTAAAGCGCCTGAAGTTGAACAAAAATCTCCTGGATTGGAAGTTATGCCAAAGGTGTCTAAGATTTTGTCCTGACTAATTTGTGATGTAAGCATGTCTCCAAAAAGTGGTTCACATATATATATATATATATAAAATTAATAATATTTTGGTAACTAACGTGAGATATATTCACTATCCAACATGGTGATTTCATGAAAGTTACAACTTCTCTAATGTAAGTTGTAATTTTTGAATTAAACAAATAAATAAATAAAATATGTTCAAACTAATTTTTGAGAGCTCTAATCTCTCAAACTAATTTTTCTAATATTTTTATTTAAAAAATAGGATTTGTTTTTTGTAATTAGTTAGCTTGCCAAGAAATAAATTTTAAAATTTAAAATTATGAAAACAATCCCATAATTTTTGGGTTTTAAAAGGAGAGAATCACACAAATATAGAATGGGAAAGCCTAAAATTATGCCTTTTCATCTTTTTATTTTTTCCCTTTCACGACCTAGCCGTACCTATAAATTTCCCTACCCTCGTCTTTATATTTGCATAGATCAAAAATTAGAATAGAGTTACGTAATGATCAGTGTAGACGTTGACCATGGCGGCAACAAAGATGATAATAAGCTTGGCAAGAGTACCATTGGTGAAGAAGTCAGATTCCTTGCTAAAGCTTAATGCGTTGCCTGATCTCAACTTTTTTATTGATTGCTTCTGAATTGAGACATAAAAGACACATGCATATATACAAATCTAAAGTTATACATGTATGTATACAAATCTAATGAACCTCCAACCATTCTCTTTTGTTTTAGTTTTAGATCACTAGATGTGTGTCAAGTTCAATAATTTGGGTATCATGAATTAATTTTAGGAGAACCTTCAATTGCGTTTAAGGTTATAAAAATTCAAGTCAATAGTAAATTTTATAAACATTAATAATTAAAGTTTTACTTTTTTCTTTTTTTACAAATCTATAATTATTTTGTGAAAGCTCTACCTAATTATGATTTTCCCTTAAATTTTTGCCAATACCTAATTGACGAGAAAAACTAGAATGCTTCAAATGGCTGATAGTTTTGAAAAATTGAGTATTGCTTAAAAATATATATATATATATATAGCATATAATTTGGGTGATAAATTAATAGAGTATTATAAATCAGGCCAACTTTTCAAAAATAATTACAAATATATGGTAAAGTTTATAAATTTTAATTCATGTAAATATATATATTTTTTTAATTTTTCAACTGATATGTTTTTTCCCCTAAATTATTTCAGAAAAATAATGTGTGGTTCATCAAAGGGTAGATTTTACTAAAAGATGTTTGTATGTAAACAATATACTCTTTTTTGGGATAAAATTTTGGGTACTTATTGTCATACTCATCTAAAATTACTATGACCACGAATATTTATCAAATGTTAATAACCATATCATGTATGTCATTGTATTAGTGTAATCGGTCTCTGTATATGTTTGTTATAAATGTGGTAATAAGATATCACGTGATAAATTAAGAATATGTAATTATCATTACATTATCACCATTCTTATATTTTCTTTTCTTTCAATAATATTTTTATGTTCACCATAATTTTTTGTCTCTTTAATTGTAAAAATTTTAATTAGAAAATCACAAGGTCAAGCTGATAATAACAATAATAATTTATATCTATAATTATATCTATACTATACATTAGGTAAATCATCTTTTCATCCTAAAGAGTCTATGCACCTGTTAGTAAAAATTATGCTTATTCCCAATCAATAGAGATTAAACAACAATTCAAACCAAACAATCAAACAAGAATAACCAGACAACTGTGTAATTGATTCAAACGCCTCAAAGGAATGAGGACTTCTCTAGAACAATTGGACAGTTACAAAGTAAACAAAAGTAATTTTAAAAGTGAAACTACTGAAGTTTACAAATTATAGTGATAAACTACTCCTATTTTGAAAGACAAACTGCTCCTAAGATAAAACTAAATCTAAAGCAAGTGTTGCTGAGTTGATGATGTCCTTCTCCTTGCAAATTTCTGGCCTTTATATTCTCTTCCTCTTTTCCTAGCCCATGATCGCATGATTTCCCTAAATCTTGCCACCGTCACTGCTGCAACTACTCCTTCACTTCCAAACTTTCAAATTTCATTAAACTTTCAATTTCACTAGTTGAATTGTCTTTTCTCCATGTTGCCATGTGTCCCTCAACACTTTTGGCCTCTCATTGATAGAGGCAAGTCTTCATTCCACAGCTGATCCTTTTTGCAATCAACCCACTAATTCCATGACTTTGCCTAATAATTGTTTCACCTTCTGGGCCATTCAATGCACATGATCAACCCCTCTAATGCCACTTGTCCCTTTGACTAGTGGAGAATATTCATGTTGACTTTGTCGTGTGTCATCATCTAGTTGATCCACTTGTCGACAGGAACTCAACAAAAATAGGTGCAAACAATGCCTCCCTTGTTTAAGTTAAATAAATAATAATGATTTTTAACTTAAACAAATCTACCTTTCAGGCCTAAATAAATAAAATATTTAATTTCAACCCATCCAAGCATTGGGCCCAACACAAGCTATAAAAGCCTGAACTTTTCAACTTCATCTTACTTCAGCGCTTCTCTCTCTTTCGAAGCTCTCAAACTACCCTTCTTCCTTTCAAAACTTCCATACCAGAACCCCAGACAACTCAAAACCCTAAACAATGGCACCCAAGAAATTGAAATCCACCAAAGAGGATGAAACCAATGAGGGCCATCTTTGATTTTCCAAACACATTAGAGACCATACTAATTCTCTAAAACTTGACTTAACTTTGATCCCAAGCACCACCACTATGGCCAAAGCAACTCTAGGCCCTACATTCACATCATACTTTCCAGACGAATTGGCTCCATACTATCCACTTGCTAATGGTGAAACCCTACTCATTAACCAACCCAAACTCAATTGGACAAATTGAGAAAACAACAAAAATCCCCTTCAATCATGGAGGCAACTAAACTCCACTTGGCAGAGTTGTGTCAAACAGATTGAAGCTCATGACTCCAATGTGTGGAAACATCTCGGCATCAGTGAGGTAATCCATCTGTCGACCCTCAAATTTAATATGAATAAATTGTTTATAGCTACTGCTGCATGTTTCTGGTCCCTATCTTGTAATTTTATGCTCTTAGGATTTGGGATGATATCACTAACTGTCCTTGATGTAGCCCACCTGACTAGACTTCCCATTCTACTGCTGGAAATTAGTGCTTTGCTAGAACCCTTACAAGTGCCTTTCACCCTTAATACTGACATGAGTTACACTGAATTCACCAAAAAATACAAAGGAAAAATAAATACCCGTGTCAATAACCAAGAAAGGGTTGCCTTTTACCTCAAATGGCTTTGCCAGTTTCTTTTCTCTGTTCCTGGCTACAAAACTCTGGCCTTGTGCCTTCAAAATGGCCAAGCCATACCCATTGCTCCTTATTTACCTACCACACTCTACAAAGGCATGTTTTTCCTTTATTGATAAGTCCTAATATACAACCTCCCTAACCAAATACTATGATTCCCATTATGCTGAATGTATCTTAACCATTGTTAACAAACCCAAACTTAGCTTTTCTCAATGACTTACTACATTTTTCAACTTTCCATTTGGTAGAGGCCCCCTTCTCTTCAAGTCATTTCAAGACTGTCGATTCTCATCCTCTAGACTAGAACACCTCTTCATGGACACCTCTAACCTAATAGATGACCAAATAAGGTCTCAAGTTGAAACATGGAAACATGTTCTCACTTCCAGACACATCTTAGCTGGTTGTTCTATTTTCTCCACTATGATGTCTAGTTGTAGCTTTGAAAACTACTGCTCTAACCAATGGGCCAGACAATTTAGACTCACTTAATGCACACCATGCCCTTACCTTCACTCCACCATTCAAGAACAAATATGGACAAGGATCAACATTAAAGATTCTTCACAAGCAAAATTGATCCAGGTGGAGAATGAAAACCTTCTTCAAGGCTTTAGCACCTATTTCTTCAAGCTTATTTCGACCTCACCAAGGGTTTTGAACATTGGTGGACCTTTATGGCTGCAGTCATTTTCTCCAAACCTCTTGAGACTTGTCTAAGAGATGTGTTTGTTGACAATCTAGGCTCTAAACCCACCCACTTCAAGCCTCAAGACTTCAGGTTAGCTTACTTTGGCTACCAACTCACTTCTATTTTACATATTAATATATATATATATATATATATTACTTGCTTCTCTTGCTTACCCTTAATTCCTTTGGCTTCTTACAGTCAACCCTGCTCTCATAGTACCTCATCTTGCCACTGAAACCCCTATGAAAGATCAAAGCAAAGGCAAGGCACCACTGGATCCTAATGCAAACCCTAAAGCTCCTTTCTCTGTGCCCACACTTATGGGAGACTCCATCATAACTCTCCATACACAAGAACAAAGGAAGACAATGGCCACCCAATGTAGACACCCCATTTTTGACCGCCCTTACGACTTGGGCACCACCGCTTGCACACCCAATGGTGAATTTGTATATACTTGTCAAGTGCTCGAAGTCCTCAGCAGAATGCCATAGCTTTGAGCCTTCAAACCCTACATACCTTGTGCCTTGTTTTGGACCAAAACCACAGTTTTTCAAGCTTAAAAAAACCTAGGACCTGCCAGCCCCCTTTTGTGGGTTGCCGGCCATTATTTTTGGCTGCCGGCCACAAGTGTGTTTTGGCAGATTTTTATGCCAATTGTGCTAACTGTTCCCATAGGTACATGCATCTGCCCACACATGTATGTATGGATGTTTCTAAGGGAGTTGCATGTTTTTCTATAAATAGAAGACATCCCTTTTCATTTTTGAAGGTCAGAAAATTTGAGAGCAAAATATTTTCTCTCTCTCTTGCAAATTCTTAAGCCTTTGCCTATGCACTCTAAACCAAACCTTGTGGTCTTTGAGCTGAGATACTTTTGAGCCTACTTTGAGCTTTTAAGGGTATGTAAGTGTTGATTTGTTACTTAGAGAGTGTTCTCCTCTTCAAGACGTATAAGTCTTAGCTTGTTGCTTTGCTTTATTTGCTATTCTTCCTACAATTTTTAGACTATTTTTAGATTGTATAAACTCTGAAATTTTGGGCTGAAAC